AGCCCTATTAGAGTTATACTCTTCCCTCATGATTCCACATGTTTGACTAGGGTTGATGTTGACCTTATTATACCAAATGTAAATAGTTTTATTATATACTTTCTCAATTTCTAAAGGGTGTGGTTTGTATAGAGCGGAGGCTCTAAACAATCAAATTAGATTCTACCTTCAAAGAGTGTCGAGAAATATCGTTTCAATGCCGGAAAGTTTTGAGATAGCCTTAAATAATATTTTCATTTTTACTTTTTGATAATATTAACCTATATTTTCATCTTTCGTTATAAAATTCAAAGCTTCAAAACTAGTGTAGATAGAGCAGATCTATGAAAGCCTGAAAATCTTGAAAATTGACGGTCCAAAAATACGTTACAAGATGTACTATTTTCAAAACTTGAAATCCATTTTTTTCTCATGTCCATGCATCTTGATGTTGAGATGAGCAATTTGGTGATATTTGGGCATGAAAACAACCTCTTCTAGTAAAAGTTTTGAGGTAGGCTCTAATTTGATTGTTTAGAGCCCAGTCTCTATATAAACTTTTCACATTTCCAAATACCACAAATTATACAATGTTCTTACAAACTTATGAAGAATGTAATCCGTTATGGTAATTTGTTACCTATACCCCAGTGTCCACCTAAAATGGTCAAACCTACCATTTGTTGAACCTAACCTAGGTTAGAACCGAGAACGTAGCATTGAGTCTTTTCTTTTTTCATTTTTGGTCTCGTTTCTAAAACGAATCATATTTCTCTTTTTCTTAATTTGTTTTTTTTTTTTTGATTTTTTTTTGTTAAAGATTGCGATCGCTGAAGATGGGTCGATACCCGATAAAGGAGATGTGATGATAGAAGATAAAGCCCTCGCGCAGGCTCTTTTGGATTCCATTATTGGGGAGCACGGGGTCTCCCCTGCTGCGAAGCGCTCTGTTGCGGAGCGTCTCTCAGAAGTGCTGAGCATAGCCTAATTATTTAGACTGTATTTCCTTTCTTCTTTCAAGTTTGAATAATGATGTTTACTGTCCTATGTTCATGAAATTGATAAATGGGAACCATTTCTGAGCTTCATTATAGTATGATTTGTTTGCTTTGCACTTATTTTGATGTCTTAGTTTCATGGGGAAAATTACATCCGTACCATTATTATATGATGGTAAAAAAAAAATGCGATATTTATATGGAGGCCATGTCTTTTTGATTTTTCATTTTTCTAAGTTTCCCCATTGTAATGTTTTAAACATCACGTATTAAATAAATTTTTTGATTTTATGACTACTTTCAACCTAGGTTAAATGTGTTTAGATGTTAGAAACATCGGACCGCCTTAAACTTTCAAAAAATGAGATCTAAATGTGGTTCGAGATTTCCACTCTCAGAAAATGAGGCCTAAATGCGGTTAAACCTTCAAACAATGAGGTCTACATGGGCAATTGATGTTACGAAGTGGTCCGATGAACTAAAAATCGGCTAGGGTACAAATTTCTCAAAATATTAAAAATTTCAAGAGCCCGTCCTTTCGAGTAACTTTCATTATAACAGTTCAAAAAACCAGTTCAGACGTGAAATTAAAGCAACATATGAGTAGGACTCTTTGGGGAGTTCACTAAATTAATTGTTCTATTCGTAGATCTCTCTCTAGTTTTTTCTCTGTCTAACCAAAAACATGATCTAATACACATCTTAAGCATGCTTATCTCAAGTATTTACTCTCATAACTTTTTACGCACAAATCTGTGCTGATCTTTGATGTGAAATCAACTCAAATTCATGCAAAAAAGTTAAAAATTAAAGAGATTGATAGATAAGTTGGGCTACTCAAATTATAGTTTTAGAACTATCATCGATCTTATAGATCCGATCTTTTTTCTAAACCTACTAGCATTGCTAGCTGTAAATTCCACCCACTGGATCAATACAAAGCTAAATTCTCACTTAAACTAAAAAATAAAGAAATAATAATAGAACAAAAAATAAAGACATAAATAAAAATAAACAAAGGAGAAATAAAATCATATATATGAGAAACCTACAGTTGGCACCTATATCAAGGCTATAAGTTTACACCTTTTGATGTCTTTTCTTACTTGCTTGAAGCATGGCTTTAAAGGTTTTGGAACTAGGAGATCTTGTTTTTAAGATTTTCATTTTATATAAATTTTAAGAGGATTTGGACTTAGGGTCTCTAGCCGAAGATTTTATAGGAATTTTCACTAATTTTCTAGAGGTTTTCCCTAATTTTCAAGGGATTTTAAGATTTTTCTGTTTTTCTAGGGATTTTTTGATGAATTTCCCAAATTTCTTTGCTTTTCTAGTATTTTTCTTAAATTTCTAGGTATTTTTCTAGTTTCTGAAATTTTCTAGCCTCTAGGGAAATTTTAAGGATTTTCCAAGTGATTTTTTCTAGAACCATTGATTGGGGTTTATATAGACCTTGCCTAGGAGTATGGATGAAATTTAGGGTATTGATCTTAAAGTCCTAATCTAACTGGGATAGGGACAAATTGGTTATTTTTTGGGCTTAACCCATTCAAAAACTTGTGTCAAAAACCTCATCTAGGGAGTTTCTAGAAAGGCATGTCTGAGCCCATTGGGCTTGTGCGAGTCGTAGAGACTTTGTTTGCATCATAACTTTGCTAGGGACCCAACTCGTCATTATTTTGAACAATATTTTTCAGGCCGTGATTCTTTAACTATAAGTTGGCTTCAAGTGATTATCTGATCGTTGGGAAATATGTATAATCTTCTGTAATTTGGAACCAAATTATGTTAAATTTGAGTTACTTTTGATGTGTTTACAAGGCTAGGATTTCAAGGTCTTGATTTCAAGTTTCTAGGCATCTGATTGATGTTCAGGCTAGTGTTCCAAATTTATAAGGCTCAGATGTATCTAAGATGACTATTTGAGTATTCTAGGGTTGGCTTAGAGTAAATTTGAGATAATTCTAAGGGGTCTAGGTTTACTATGGTTCATTAGGTGTAGCGTGGTCTTTAGGAGTTAGAACTTGAGGTTTCTAAGAATTTGCTTAGCCAGAATTTTTGCAGGGTGCCTATAATTATCGCTCTTTGACATTTACCTGGGATAGCAGGTAAATGGTAAAGAAGTAGGCATCTGGGACACGATAGAAAGAAAATAAAGGATCACTCTTTTGAATGACTAATACCTTCTGGGAAGTACACTGATGGATTTTTGAAAAATAGCGAACTGGAACTGCTTTGTCTTTGAGGCAGTTTCATTGAGTGGTCTCCGACAATTGTATCTGCAGTGACATTCAACAGGATCCATGTTACCTTTGAGCTAGCTATTTTTCTTTATTGAGACCACCATAATGCTACTTAGAACACCAATATAGTCATCGTCGCTTTAGACATTTTCTTTTAGGCCTGGTGTTCAATTGAATCGGAACTTGTTTAGAAAATAGTTTATGGTGGGAAAAATCTCGGTAATCGAATTTATTTTCACGTTTTGATTCTAAAGTGTAAAGACCATAGGTTCAAGCTAAGGCTATTGGGAATCCATGGGTATTTTTTTCTCCTAAAATTGGTTGTTTAAGGATTTCAGGCCATTCTTAAAGACTTTTAGGGAAGGAAAAAATGCGGTAACATCATGTACGTGCTGCCCAACTCTTTCATTTTGTGAAATATTTTAGCAATTTAAAAAAAAAAAGGAGATAATTTTTCTTGAAAAATAGAACCAGGTGCTTAGGCATACGATTTAAAAAAGAACCTAAGATTTTTTGAAATCACATATAGGGGAAATTTTTTGAATGGGGAGATAATTTCAAAAAATAGGGTGGTAAGCATTTTAGGCTCATGCAACCATGGATCCTTCTTTTTTTTTTTTTTCTAATATGAGCCTACCAAGGCTCTGCGGGACCTTTAGGACAATGAATCATTGAGTACTTCTTTGTATTCTATTTTTCCTTTTGTGTCTCAACTTAAAGGATGGTCTTCTAAAGTTTTTGAGCAAGCTTATGTCATTGGATAACATGGGATACTGCTCAAAATCTCCTTGGACTTCCAATTTTATTCCCCAAACCATAGTTTCAAAAAGCATTAGGCGGCCTCGAGGCGGCTATGGGGGTCCAAGCCGCCCAGCACTTAGCCGGGCGCCGAGAACCTGGGCGCTCCAATTGAAAAAAAAAATAAATTGATGAGTGGCTGACGATTGATAATGATTAATCCATAAGAATTGGTATAATCCATAAGAATTTTGATAATCCATAAGACCATAATCCTAGTTAAAAACAAAAAGATAGAAGTCGATAAGAGAATTTTGATAATTCATAAGACTATAATCCATATTTTCATACGATGCTAAAACAGTAAAACCATACAAGCATACACTGATAGTCTGATACACTGTAGACTGTACACACAAAAGTTAGATAGTAGAATGAGAAACTAGAAAGTAGAAACTAAAAATAGAAAAAAAAATATAGAAATTCAGAAAATATATAGTCTAGGACACAATAGTCAACTCTTAATACAACAGTCAACACTCAATATCTAGAGTCTTCAGTTATCATCATCATCATCATCATCAGAAGGAACAGGGTCAGTTTCATCATATGCATCAGAATCGAGGCCATCATCACCAGAGTCATCTCTCTCTTCAATATAACGGTCACCTTCCTCTATATCTTTTGAATCTGCATTTCAATCTTCTTCTTCTGCCTCCCTGTTACTAGGAGTCTTGGTTGCTCTCCCTAGGAGTCTTGGTTGCTCTACCTTTTTCTATCCTTTTGTGCTTCCCTGAACTCAAATATTTTATAATTTTCTACCTGGTAGCCTCAGGAACATTTTTACATGTGGCAAATCACCCTTTAATACCGGCAAGGTGTTTTTTAAACTTGTAAATGCCCCCATGAGTATCCTTTCCATAATAATTACATTTAGTGCGATTTTTGTCATTTGGCTTTGGGTTATAACCATACTTCCAACTCGGATCACCACCTCTAGAAGAACTCGGAGAAGATATTTCCGTAGAATCATTTTTTGGTTCTTTTAAATTCGTAAGTTATCTAATCTCATCTCGAATAGCTTCAAGAACCTTTTTACAAGAAGCAATATTCCCTTTAATACCAACACGATGTTTCTTGATTGGTTAATACCCCCATTGGTATCTTTTTCACAAAAATTACACCTTATAGTATTTTTATTGTTTGGTTTTGGGTTATAACCATACTTCCAACCTGGATCACTTCTTCTAGAAGTAGCCGAAATAGATCTATCAAAATGACAAGGATTTTGTTCCTATTTTTGTTTTACAAACTCATATATTGCTTAATCTTCTCTCTGATAGCTTCAAGAACATTTTTACAAGCGGCAACATCCTCATTAATACCAACAAGATGCTTTTTAAACCAATTTATTCCCCCTTTTGTATCTTTTTCACAAAAAATGCTTCTAATGCAATTTTTATCATTTGGATTCGAGTTATATATATATTTCCAACCCGGATCTTCACTTCGACTAGATCCTGAAGAAGACATCTAAAAATAAAACAAGCAATCTAAAAAATAAATTTTTACACTGACTTTGATTACTCGAACTCCAAACTCCCACCTCTGATATGTTTTCTGGTGCTAAAATAATAAAAAACACCCTCTAATAAGATTATAAAACTCCAACACTAAATCAAATCTACCTAAGTGATGTTTGGATCTGTTTGTCGTAACTTTGAGAAGCACTTCGATCCAATAAAAGTAAAAAAATTTAGTTTTCTTGAGGTTTCTTTCGCTCTAAAATGGGTTATGGTGGGTTTAGGTTCGAAATGAACCTAAATCATATCCTTCAAATCCTTTATATTTTTTTAAAAAATCAATACAACAAAAAAAAAATATAAAAATTTCCGCCCCTAGGTGGGGCGTAGGCCCTGGGCGGCCGCCCAGGGCTGGGAGCTGAGCGCCCGCCTAGGGACTGCCTCCTAGTTTGGCCACCTAGGTACTAGGCGGTCAGCTTTTTTGAACACTGCCTTCACCACCGACCTTTTGAAGTTCAAATAGTCGAGGTTTTTTTATGGAAAGAAGCCTACAAATTTTCTTTGCTTTTGACATTCTAATTTAGGAAAAAAAGATGATAAGAACAAGTTCTGGAGAGAAGAGGC